AACCAAATTTATAAGGGTTGTTACCAAAAATAGATTTTTTGTCTGGAAGGTCGATTTTCCTAGTACAGACCCCATATCAGAATTAACCAGAGCATTATTATACATTTCATTATAAATTTTACGTACAAAATCCTCTCTTTCTCGTGATAATGATGATAATAGGCTAACATATGACATTATATAAAATATAAAATATAAAATATAAAATATAAAATATAAAATATAAAATATAAAATATAAAATATAAAATTCGAATTGGTGTTTTAATGAATTTGGAGATTTTTGTGGAGAATTGAGTAATGTGTAACAAGCAATTTTTTTCGTACAATGTTTTTTATATTTGATTGCCTTTAAAAATTACATTATTTAAAATTCATCATCACCAATCGATTTATCATGATTCAACAATAAAAAAAATTCTTTGAAGATTTAAAGTGATAAAAATTGAAAACGAAATTAAAACTTACAAAAATATGTACCAAACCTGTCTTATGTGCTATGTAAAGGTCATTACCAAATATTGACCGATCTATATTGCTTCAAACTCAGGCATTAAAGACAGCTCAAGCACATCATTAATATTATTGCGTATCGCTATCACGCGTAGTTAACTTCAAAAGTCAAAAATAATAATTTAACACAACTTATATGTATGTAAAGACAATTTGATTATATGAAATGTAATAATAAAAGGATAGTTTTAGTTTGTAAAAAAGAAGAGGCAAGTAAATTTCTAATTCAAATTATAACATTTGTAAACTTCTACGATAATTATTCTTCTTGCACATTGCAATATACATACAATATTATTATTATTATTATTATGTTTTTTTTTGTACACATTTAATTTGTATCGCATGATTTGATCATAAGTTTCGATTTAGCGGATCTCTCGATTTAACGGATATTTTTTTTCAGAAAATTTATCCGTTAAATCGAGATTTCACTGTGTATTCTGGTATTGTTTTTTTATCAAGTTCACCAGCTTGTAATGATCATGAATTATTTTTTTTTTAAACATTGGAAGCTTGAAAGTTCCAAGAGAAACCACTGGTTCCGAGAAGAGGCCGGTTCATAATAATGAAAATTAATCATTATCTTCTTCCAGATTATCAACATTATTATCGTTAAAATTATCAATGTTATCATCAATACCATGCAAAAATATGCCTTCCATCGATTTCTATTTCTTTTTATTATTATTGTTAGTTTATCAATTAAAACCCAAATTTTTTCTTTATAAACTTCAAACTCTGCAAGATTCAAAAGACTTTGTAATAAAATTAAACGTTTACAAGAAAATTATCATTGAAATTAATTGAAATACATGGATTATTAATTAGGAGAATGCATTGGAGATGAGTGAATAATCCAATTAGTAATGAAGTTCTATTGTGATAATCTTTTCAATAAATAGGAACCTAATCTACTTCACAGTTAATTATGAAGAACACCCTATTATTCCAATGTGTATTGTACACTCACCTGCCAAAAGTATCCGGACAAAATGTAGATCATGTAAATTTCCGTGACATTTCTGGGTGTTTTACACA